CATGGTAAGGAAAATTTCAATGAATTACTAAATTTTTTTAACTAAATTGATGAAGGAATTAAATTCACAATGGAGGTGGAGGAGGATGAACGACTACCCTTTTTGGATATTGAAGTCATGTGCTCCAACGGGACACTCATGAGTAAACTATAACGAAGGAATTCATATACGGGAATAATCCTTAATTTATAGTCACACCATAACTACAGATTAAAGAGATGAATAGAGAGGATTTTGTTCATCAGAAGCTCATGAATAAAGTATTCTGAGTTCTGGAATGAGAGGTTGGACAAGCTGACTCGGATTTGCTTTAGTATCGGATATTCCAGAGAATTTGAAGTAAAAAATGTAGAAGTGGGTTGACCTCGTTGTCGCAACTTGGTCTTATTTTCAGAGAGACTATGTAGAACGCACCTAGTCCGAAGTCGTCTGCCATATTAGTTGTCATGATCTGATTAAAGTCCACTGTCAGATGCTGGGAATCATGACAACTACTATGGCAGACGACTTCGGACTAGGTGCATTCTACTTGGTAGCTTGGTGCGGCGAATGGCAAAACTGACTGATGAGGCCGACTACGATGCCGGCGAAACGTTTGAGAATGTATCAAGTACTGTCAGATGCTGGGAATCATGACAACTACTATGGCAGACGACTTCGGACTAGGTGCGTTCTACATAGTCTTCTTAGATCAAGACAAGTTGCGACAACGAGGTCAACCCACTTCTATCAATCGAAAGGAGACTGCGACCACACCAGAGGCCACAGCATCTTGGTCTTCATATATTCAATAAAAATGTAGAGGTTATAAAGGGCAGTTTATAACTCGAATTTTAGGACATTCCGATACCTACCGATACCTTCTGATACTATTGTGAACTGATCCCAAAATTGCGACTTGTACTTAGAAAATGTAATATCAAGGAGATGATAAAGGGGAATACAACACTTTTCATTACTCAGCCGAAGCAACACGAGAAGATTGACAAACTGGATTGTTCGGAAGAAAAATCGGTTAGGAATCAAAGAACATCAAAGACTCTGCAGAAACATGGATACTGAAAGATCAGAAATAGAGGAACACATTGCACGGACGGGACACGAAATCAATTGCATATTGACAGAAAGACTGGCTGCATATAATAAAAATACGAGAAAACTCAGGATCCGAGAGGCCATTTGTGCCTGAAAGAAATCTGATGAACAGGAGACTTGAAGGCAGGATCAGCGAAAATTTTGCATATTGCCTAAACAAACCTGGAAATGACAAGACAACAGTAAGATCAAAAAAAGAAGACGGTCGGATTTTCATTAATTTTAAGAAAAGAAATCGTCAGGAGACTATAAAGGAACAATCATAAGTCAAGAGGAGGCGTCTTCACTGAGCTTTATCAAAGCAAGTAGAACTCCAACATCTGTGGGTTGGCACAAAAGAGACTATGGCATAGGATTCCATACACATGGTATTATGAATAGAAACGGAATAGACGCGGTGGAGCTATTTGGCTAACAATATCGGGGTGAGGGGAAGTGAGAAAGCTAGCGTGAAATGTGGAGATTTCTCATAAAAGCCTCTCAAAAGATCATACCATACCACATTTAAATAAGCAAGTAAAAATTGTTATAATTAAGGCGTGATACGAGGATATAGGATTCTTGATTAGCCCAGGGGGATAGGAGAGATACCACGATTTTTTAGCAGACAATTGGTCAAAGGATCGGCGAATTGTAGTGTGGTGCCAAGAATGGCAAGACTCACTGACAATTCCAACTACGATAATGGCGAAACGTCTGGGAATGTAGCACTTCCACGGTCCGCATGCATACAATGGACTCTGGACCAGATGCGTTCCTCTAGTTCTTCCTACCAATAAGACCAAGTTGCGAAAACAAGGTCAAACAACTTCTACACAATAG